GGCGTCCTTTTTACGGACCTTGCGCATGGGGTTGAAGCGCTAGAAGGCGGTTCAAAGGCGCCTGCCCGGCGTCAGGCGTTGCGCCCCAAACCGAAACAAATATACCCCATTTTTGCTCAAACACGCGGGGTATACCCCATTTTGTCAATTGCCCAAGATGTTTCTACGTTTCTTTTCTTTTTTTTCACTTCAATTCGTCACTCACAGCGCTAGTGCCGTGTACTCCGACTCGTGGTCACACAGAAGAGCCCCTGTCCACCGTCCCCTCCTGCGGTGCTTCGCCGTCGATTTTGAATGCGGGGAGAGTTGAGAACTCTCTTTCCTCTGTGTACACACGAACCAGCGCTATCCACTCAAGCCAGGAGCGGAAGCGAGAGAAAACCTCACTTTGCGAGAAAAGCTCGCTTACGCCGGGATTCGAACCACTGACCTGACCTCTAGAAGGTTTCGAGGATGCCAACTAGACCACCGGGGCGACCGGCTCTCGTGTACAGGGAATCGGGAAATAGGCATCGAGGGAATGAAAATTAAATCCTGATAGCTTTCATGACAGGAAATAGAGGTAAGGAATTAGCTCAGGCTGAGGGCGCACCCCAGGCCTCGCAGCGGCCCCTCCGAGAGAAGCGGCGGGATTGCGCCTACTCTCAAGTCGACACGATAGCGTCGAATCGTGGCCAGCGACGCGGGGGCCGCCGCTCGCCCTCCCTCTCCGCGGAGCCCGCGGGACGCGCTCTCTCAGCTAGACGCCGCCGCTCGGGGCTCCGGGCGTCCAGCTACAGGCGAGCTGTCCGCGCCGGCGGGACGGCTCAAAACCACGTCGTCGCACTTTTTTCTCTATACCTCGGACCCCTCCGCTCGGGGCTGCAAAGAACAAGCGATCTTTCTTGACGGAACTGTCTTCGGGGTATTTTTAAAAAGTTGAAGTGATCACAAAACTCGGGACATGTTTGTCTATAATTTATGTAGCAAAAAAAATATTCATAGCCCGCACATGTTTGCTTACTACGAAATGGTACGTAGCGCTTCATGCACCATCCATCATGTGCCCATCGCGTGCTAGGGACTGCTGTTCAACACTGCTCCCTTGCAAGATGTGCGTGCGACCACGCGGGCACGCATCTCATCTCTCCCAAAATTGTCAATGGAACGGCAACTTGCAGGATACGTGTTCCGATAACTATTTATTCCGGAAAAAAATGAAAAGACGGAAGACGGCAACTGGCTCTCGGAACTCGGAAGACATATCACATGCATTTTGCTCACGACTCTCATCAGTTCTGTGTGCTAGATCTCTTTGCTGTATTCGGGAGGACGACACGGGGAGTGTGTGAATGTGTACAAAACGATGACTGCTGTATGTTGCTGTAGTCTCATGGCTAATATAGCTGCAGTATATGGTACAAGCCACACTTGCCCACACACAAACAGGTGCACACACATTCAGCAGGGTGTGCACCACAAGCTTTCACCTTTGTTCAACATTTGTCGTTTTGTTTCAGAGAAGCCGGTAGCCTGAGTGTATATGGAGAGCATGAGAGCATGATGACGCACGCTTCTCTCGACTTCGAATCTGCGTCTATCGTTCTTTCGTTGTAACGGACACCCGTCCCACTTGGTATATGTTTCAAATTCTTGTTGAGCCTGTTACCCACAGGGGAGATATCGTTGTATGCTGTCTGGGAAACCGTAGACATACAGGTAGCCTTTCGCTCACGCTATGGATTAATTGCTAATCCATCTTAGACTTATTTCGATAGATAGAGATGGATTTGTTGTGTGATATTAATGCTAGCTTACCGCATCACATAAATAGGTTGTCGTTTCGTGTGGGCATCGATTCTCAAACGGAGGACAAGGGGGGCGGTAGCCCCCCGCGTCCACCGCCGTTGTATCAGGGAAAATCAAGTTCGTGTGTCGTACGATGGGGAGGAAAAACCATATTGAGAGTAAATCAACGTTGTTGACGTGGACATGACATATATCGCTTCGCACGTCAGGTAGTATCTTCTCGCCATATCGCCAAAGCCCAACATGGGCTGTAACTTTTTTCGAAGAACCAAATTGCGCCCAAGAACGAAAGGAGATAGTAGGGGGGGATGGGGGGGGTGTACTCATAGTCGTGCATGCCGTAGTCGTTAGACCATTGACCTCGCATCCCTACAAAGCCGGGACGGACCACGCCGGGTTCTCACCGGACCAGGCTCTCACATCACCAAGCGCGAAGCGCCGTGAGATATTCGGCGAGTCTCATGAAGGGTGCGCTGCATCCTGCTGAGGGTTTTCGGCATCTTGTGCATACTTCCTTGCCTTTCTTGCGTACGGATGACAGCTGCGTATGACTTATTTTATTTTCTGGTGCTTTCACTTCCAGAGACAGTTGTAAGCACTGTGTAACTGCCTCGAGGGTGCTTGACCATCTTAACACAACGTGGTGCGATCATCCCCCTTGCGCGGAGCGAGGGTTCTCGACCCCGCACAACATGATCTACTCGACCACCATTACGGTTACCGCCAAAAAAAAAACGGAGGTAAAAAAACAAACAAACGGTAACCTGGTTGCCGAATTCACGACGTGAATTGGCTTGTTTTACAACGTCGTTGCCAAGCGACGAAAACCCAATCCCGAAGGCAAACACCGAGGGGGGGGCTTGTTTTACAACGTCATTGCCAAGCGATGAAAACCCAACCCCGATGGCCAACACCGGGGGGGAAGGCAAACACTGAGGGGGGGGCTTGTTTTACAACGTCGTTGCCAAGCAACGAAAACCCATCCCCGAGGGCAAACACCGGGGGGGGGCAGTCGGGGGGGGGGGGTGTACTCATAGTCGTGCATGCCGTAGTCGTTAGACCATTGACCTCGCATCCCTACAAAGCCGGGACGGAGCACGCCGGGTTCTCACCGGACCAGGCTCTCACATCACCAAGCGCGAAGCGCCGTGAGATATTCGGCGAGTCGCATGAAGGGTGCGCTGCATCCTGCTAAGGGTGTTCGGCATCTTGTGCTTACTTCCTTGCGTACGAAGGACAGCTGCGTATGACTTAATCTATTTTCTAGTGCTTTCACTTCCAGAGACAGTTGTAAGCACTCTCTCTGAGGGTATGCCCCAGAGAGAGGAAAGGAGAGAGTCCAGAGATGGAGGGCCA